TATATATATATATATATTATTTTTTTTCAAAAGTAATATTTACTTTTGTTAATTTATTAGTGATAGAGTGGCAGCTAAATAAAATGTGAGGAGTATAAAGCACAAATATAAAACTATAGGGGCTACATTGTTACAAACAGAAAGTCCAGTTGCCTTCTCATACATTTTTGCTAAAGTAAAATGGAAACCCCAACAATTAGATACCGCCTATCAAAATCAGTACTCCCAAAATGGATAACCAGTCAGCAATTCACCATGAAATTGAAACGAATCCGTAAATATTAGACTCATATTTAGAATTTCAACAACAATTAATCTCAATTCTGAGGTATGGATCAACTGGACTCAGACCCGCTGTTTCAACCAATTCAAGCTCCGAATAATTTCCAACCCCAGCCTGATTTGCACATTCCCTCCAGTCGATCGCAGCCTGATTGCAGGTATCTTAATTTTTGGTTTCCATACCATTTGCCGAGCTTTTTCTGTACATAGACATGGTCGTTTAGCGGTAGTACATGTTTGTATTTTAATTTGTATCGTTAGTTGTGGAAATTTAACAAACATTAGATGAATATGTAGATGAAGATTGGTTACTAATGGTGGGTTTGTTGGTTTAAAGTTATCTCTAGAGCGAAAATACTAAATATAAAATAGGCAGAGGTTACTTGCGGCTCGTTCAGGAAAAATGTTTGTTTTTAATTTCTTTGAAGTTCCAATTTTCATGTAATTAAGGGGGTAAACTGTCCAAAGATGAGTAACAATTTTTACAATTCAAAGTTCAAGTTTATAGTTTCTGGGTTTAGATTTTTTATTTTTGCATTAATCTTAATTCAATGTCGGTTTCGTTATCCATTATCTAGAAGCTTTGCACATGTAAGAGTGTAGTAGAAAGAATATTAAGCCGAGATATAGGCATTTGCCACTTCATTTGTATTACAGGTGTTTTAACGAAGCGAAACGGATATTGCTCAATAATTCAAACAGACTTTCTTAACCGAGTTCAAATGGTTACAGGTCTTTTACCTTTCGCGTAGGTTTCTGGGCAACATTTCCATATAGTTTATCCAATAGAATTGTAGTATAAGCATTATGCTGCTACATCCAGATTCATAAAGATAGATGACCGTAACAAACGTAAAAAAATTCAATTCTTATTATGGTGCAATTTCAATGAGGAGTTACATGTCGAGATAAAGCTCTAGTTTTTCTTTTCTGATGGGAAATTTATTTACCTTATGTGAGATCCTCAATACTCAGTGAGTAGATGTTTGCCAATGCGTATCAATTGAATGTATAATTCCAATTTTCTATACATGTTTCCCATCCCCCAGCTGATTATGAGGTTTGACTTTTCTTTTTATTCTTGTGTGTTAATCTATGATCAAAGGTTTGAGACAGAAGTCAAGGACTCCATTGCTGCAAGAAAAGTCCAAAAAGCTGACCGTGAAAAATTGAGGAGAGATCGTCTAAATGAACAATTCGCAGATTTGGGAAACGCCCTTGGTATACCAACATCTCAGTTACATGCAATGCTATAGTGACAACATTGATTTTTTTTTTTTCTTTTTGTCTATGAGCTTATCATTCCCATTGTATATAGATTACTGAGGACTTGAAACACAATGATATTTGGTGTAGTATGCTGTCAGCAGTTCTGCATGTTTGGGCTTTAATGGGCAACAGGATAGTCTCCACGTGCAGGCCCATATAAGTTCAAATGTTGCTAAAGAAGGATGATAAGAAACAAAATGAAGAGAGATTTTGATTTGCTATAAATCTTTACAATCTATCTAAGTAGGAAAGGTTTTCAGTTTGATGCTATTACTTTGCCGTGATTTGGTTTATTTCCTTCAGTGTCTATTCAGAGTCATTTTTCCAAGCATAAATAGAGGCAACTTGAACTCATTATCAGTGCCTTTATGCAATATTATGATTGAATTGATGATTAATTCACACAATAAATTTCTTAAAATTTTGTTATTCCTTCCAGTGACATTAGTTTGGGAATTAATAAATGCTCACTCAGTTCTGGAACTTTTATTTTTGTTGGGGAAAAATCGGGAAAGCATTAATTCTGTTACGTGATTTTATGCAGATCCAGATAGGCCAAAAAATGACAAAGTATCCATTCTTACTGATACAATTCAAATGCTGAAGGATTTGACTGCTCAGGTTAACAAACTAAAAGCTGAGTACTCAACACTTACTGAGGAATCTCGTGAGGTGATTTTGGAAGGAATTATTAATCATTTTGAGACCTATTTGGTACAATTTTTCATTAGTTGCTATGTTTTATAGCAGTTGACTCAGGAGAAGAATGATATAAGAGAAGAGAAGGCATCTCTTAAGTCCGATATTGAGAGTCTTAATGCCCAATATCAACAGAGATTGCGGTCCATGTACCCATGGCTAGGGTTGGATCGTTCTGTTGTCATGCACCCACCTTCTTATCCTTTTCCAATGCCAATGCCCATACCCACAGGAACAATTCCCATGCATCCGTCTATGCAGCCATATCCCTACTATGGGAATCAAAATCCTGCGACTTTTGTTCCATACATGGCCCATAATACCATGATGGAGCAGCAATCAACACATGTATCTCAAGTCATGCAACCAGGTAATAGGTCCCATACTTCAAGCAAACAAGAATCCAGGAATAAGTCATCAGATGGAGAGAGTAGTATAGAAAAAAGTGACGATTCCAATGACATTGCAACAGATCTAGAGCTCAAGACGCCTGGATCTACGTCAGAAATGGTGAGTAAATACCATTTAGGTTTGAATAGTTTGTGTTATGCTGTTTTGGAACCTTTTGAAGTTAATTATAACAATGATTAACACAATTGGAGTTGCTTGCAGGATTCCACGTCGAAACCAAGAAAATCCAGAAAATTGCCAAGGAAGGAAAACAGCCTTGCTGATGGAGGTTCTTCTAGTGGGTGTTTGTCTACCCATAGTGTGCAGGCTACATCATCTAATAGCATTGCTGGTGGTGCAAAGACTGATGATTGAACAAAGAAAGAGAAGGATAACCAGGTTACTACTGTCTTCCACCCCCTCTAGTTAGCTCTTCTTCCTACACAGGCCATCATCCTCTTATCTTTACTATGACTGATATCAATGTCCAGAATTTAAATATCTGGCATTACAGTGTTCAATGTCTAACACAAACACTTCTGACATGCAGAAAGCTGATAATTTTGTTCTGGGGGTATTTCCGGGCAGTCAGAAGGGTGGGTGTGATGGAGAAGGTTAGGACACTTGGGTTTGTATTTATGCTGAATAATGTTAATTGATTAAACTAATTGTCATATTTCAATTAATTGATAATAATATATTTTCTAGCATGTCCGACCTATTGTATCATGTTCTTGGAGTCCATATGTATTTCGGTAGATGGTCTTGGAGCCGGTTCTATTAAAATTTACTCCTATCTACTCATGCAGTAGAGTATTAATTACTATAAATAAAAATAAAAATAGATGCAATTTGCACCTGATATGGCTCACACAGTGGAGCGTTAACCAAGTTATGTTTTTGGCACATTAATAAGATAAATTGCTGTTATTCTTATTGAATATACGTCATCTTTGGATTATCCCTTCACGCATCTTCATAAATTTTTCAGACTTGCAAGGTTTAGTGAAGCTATTTATTTTTGGTGAGTATGTGGATATTTCTCTCAACTGAACATGTATGCTTGTGCTATGACCATACTAGGAAGGATCATCGTTCGATTGGAGTCGTTGGACTGTCCCAGTTATGTCGTGTGAATGGTCATTTTTAGTAACTGCATATAATTCAGGATCCGCAACTTGAGCCACTTCTTTCTTTGGCTAAGGCATTTATCTGTAGCAAAGGGATCTCACAACTGACTTTGTGAGCTGTTTCTCTTTTATGGTATTCCGATCCCTTCTTTTTCGTCCATAAACATGTGAAGTGTCACCTTATGTTACTTTAGCTATTGGAATAGCATATGTTAGGTAATGGTTCAGTAGACTTTATTTGATTTAATTAATAGTTGAGTGCTTGGATCATCGTAAGCTAGGGCATGCTGAGATCATGTTATGTTCATAATTTATTGCAAAGCTGCCTGAATATAAGTAACATGAGATGATTTGTTTTCTTTTTTAATTTTGGACTTCTAATGAATATGTTACAACCAGTTATACCTATTCTATAATGTCAATTTTGAGCCTTGTGATGACCTGTCCCTGTTCTACTCTTACCTTGACAAGGCCGCGATAGTAGTTTGCACAAGTCTCACATATATACGTGTTTTGTCATGCTTACATAGTTCTACATAACGTAAACTTGTGTTCATCAAGTAAGTTAGGTGGGATTCTATAATATGAAATGTAATGTAATGCATTTATTTAACATGCATCTGATTTCTCAATAGTGGATACAAATAGGTATTCATCTCCTTGAGTAGAATGTAATCCAGCAATAAAGGTAGCTAGGGAAATTCCACACTCAAAGCATATATGCCTCGTGCTACAGCCACCTTAGTAATTAAGTTACCTTACTTCTTCCCTCTTCTATATAAACCATATATGGAAAACAAGAGAAGCCGAAAATATATGGGTCGGGTGTATACGAGGAGAGGTCCCGAATGGAAACAAGGCTGAACAGGCCAGACTCTAGGCTCGGTCTCTATCCCGCCCCTCCCCGCCCCTTACTGACCATATTTGCTATTGTTATGTTCTTATTGTCTTTGTCTCATTATAAAAGCTACAAGGATCAAATGTATCATGCTGCTATCAGTTTCAAGCTATTCCTTTTCTTGATGCCTGTTATTCTGATCATCTTCATGCGTTCGAGTCTCACCAGTTCGATGTCCAACTTCAATGTAAGGCACGGATGGACTTGTGTAATGGCGGGATTCTCCTGGGGCTCGGCCATTTTGGCGGTGGCGCTGCTAGTGTTGGTGTCGTGCCAGTCCTTGTTTCACTTGCAGTGGTTTCCTTTGTTGAGATCAGATTTGTGAAAACATTATGGTAACTTACTGCTATTACTCAGTCAGTTACACCTGTTAAAAACACCAAAATTCAATGATCCAGTGACATACCATGCTATGTACGATATATCATGATCCATGGGTTCAGTCATACGTTTTTTCTTTTTTTTTTTTTTTAGCCCCATTATTTGGCGTTATAATGAGATTAATAGTGTTTTTTTTTTAAAAATGAGTGGTTGAAATTTTTTTGATTTACGTGTAATATTATTTTTTTGAAGATTGTGTGGTTAAAAGTAGGAGAGAAAAAAGTTTAATTTAATGTAATGAGAAATAATAGGGCTCAAACGGGCCCTAAAACTAGCGGCGCCGCCATTGGTAGCCACCTCATGTTCTCCTCTGTGGCATCCCCCGCTGATTCACAAGAAACATACCACTGCAGGCCAAGAAATATGAAAATCACAGCCAAAATTATTAGGACTGGACATGGTAAAGGATATTCTAACTACAATGTCAGGAGTGTTGTAAAACTTACTTTTAAATAAAAAATACTTTTTACTTTTAATATCAAAATAAATAATTTATTTTCGAATATGAACCTACGGTTTCCTTGATTATATTGAGCTTATGGCTTCCATGATGCTAATACGAGAAGTTAAAAATTAGGTTCCTGTTTGGTGGGAATTAAAATCAAATTTGTAGTGAATTTTGATTAAAGTAGATGAAATGTGTGGTTCAAAAGTTGTGGATTCTAGAAAATATATGGTTAAAGTTAATTGTCGATTTTGATTTAAAATGAAATTTAGATTTTAATTCTTATTAAACGGAGGCTACTTTCGTCTTCTGTCTAGAATATGCTTCCAAGTCATCACAAAAAATCAAACTAATACCATAAATCCTAACAACAAAAGAAGAATTATTTTAGATGGATAGGGCCACGTCGGCCATGTCAGCTTAGGGGGACACATGTCCCCCTATTGATTGGTAATGTGTTGTCTAGATGGGTGTTCCAACACTAATGGTTCTAATAACATTTTCAAAAAGTATTAACCTAACCCTCCCACAATTGAGTGTCAATTTCAAAAGGAATCTCGTGGAAGCAAAGTCTAGCACTAAACACAGTTTTCTATCTCACTTTCTGCCTTAAGGATTTGTATCTTAATCAAGTTTGAGATCTGATAAATAAATTTCAAATGGTGTTCTCTCATACGACAGATTTCACGTTAACATGTGCCTCATCAAACGACCCTTTATAGCGTCTCTAGGAAAATAGTAAATATTTTCATGAAAGTATCATTTGACAGGACTTTTAAGAGGCTAAAAGTTGTTTATGAGATTAAGAAACTGTTGTTGAACATGTTTAAATAATTTTCTGGAGTGTTTTGTTAGTAGAACTTTTAGAAGAATTTGACTTAAAGTAGTTTCCTCGTCAAATTTTTTTTTTTTAAAAAAGGGGAAAAAATGTATAAATCATGTCAAACCTGCCCAAACTTGGTTAAAGGAACCTCCTTATCTTGAAGAACATGGCACTGATTCTGACTAGTAGATACGTATTTAATCTAGTATAAGTCACTCCCATTTACGTGTATCAGTCATCACTCGTCAGAGAACATGTTTGGACCTTAATTAGCGGGCCTATATATTCCCTATATCCTTTTGCATAGTAAAGGAATGAGGTTTACTCAGTTAACAAAAAGTGGAAGTTACATGGGCTACCTTAAAAATGTTTCAAATTCCAAATCTACCATGCCATGTTTTTTATTTAGAAAATACTTATTTTAAAAAAGTAAAAAGAAAAAAGAAATTAATTGACCACCCCCATTCCTCAAATTATGCTCAAGAATAGGATCCCACTATCAAGAATCTTATTTCAAAATCTTCCATATTCTCAGTGTCCCCTAGTTTTGTGCATAATTGTTGACTGAATTTCACTACATTTTTTATTTTATTTTGCAAAAGTTTATGTTTCTAATAACAATCATCTTGAAAATCCTAATCCCCAGTTCATCTCCATTTTATTGCAATTCAACTTTTCCCACATAGATTTGTTAATAGAGTTTCAAATATATTGGGGGGAGATACAAAGGTTTAACGGTATTGGAGGAGAAGGTCTAAAGGTGGTGACGATGACAGTGGCTTGAAGGTTGATGGTGAAATCAAAAGGATTTTGGAGAATCTTTCTTTGCTAACTGAGTTGTCTTCTTGATGAAATTGTGTTCCTTTGGGGATTATACTTTCTTTTCTGCATCAGGTATGGTTATTTTTTTTTTCTATTGGTTGTATCAAAGTTTCACATATGAAAATGAACAAGGCATTTTTGGAATTGATTTGTTGCCATATATGCATAATATATTTGGCGCTTAATAATGTGGTCATGAATTTGATATTCACCTCAAATCTTATGTTGTGTTACCTACATAATTTTTAAAAAATATCTCTTTTATAAGCAAATGTAGAATTTTGGTTGTTGTTTCAACGTTAAAATTGTATTTGAATGTTCATCAGCCGTGTCCAATTTATGATCAATTCCATAGCTATGGTATGACAAATAACATAAAAACTGTTAGTTGCTAAGTAATGGATGCAACACATTAGATTATATAACCATTGTACACCAACCACCATGAAATGCCATATAATGTTAGTAGTAACACGGTTATTTATTGCAACTTGGCATGCTTCTTTAGACAAATATTATATTTCATATGATTGTTAACATATTATCACACTTGAATCGTAATGACAACCACCACAAAGTGTGCTACAAGTTATGTAAATAATCAAATTCTAGACAAATGAATATGTTTTACAAAATCAAAAAATTATAATGGACGGTTGAATAATCTAGCTCTAGCATATTATCACATCTCCAAATACGGCACATATCTTTTTTTTATCCATTATGTCACATACAGTTTTATATAATAGAAGGAAAAACATTTGCAACAATAGATGTACTAGATGCAACGATAATCGATTATTTTTTCACAAGTGATATATCTTGTGATACTAAAATAGAAGACAACATTTTACACTAGAGCGGGAGAAAAAAATAAAACAAAATAAATAAAATTGCTTTTCTTAATTTTGTCGCCTATGATGTATTCTTGTTTTGGGTAATTTGAATTCAATTGCTCGTTATCACCCGGCTTCGAGAAGATGAAATCACAGAATTTCAATTTCCTTCTATTTGAAATATTTAAATTAATCAAGTAGCGTAATATGAAATAGGATGCAATCTTTTCTTCTTTCTTTCTTCTTCTTCTTTTTTTTTTAATTTATTTTTTATTTTTTTATATGTACTTTTATTGGCCTATTATGTCTTTCAGTTACAAAAAATTAGAGATATTATAGGAGTTAGTATTTTTGATTTATTTTAGTGTAATTTCTAGTATTTATAGTATATATAAAGTATCATGTAGTATATTATGAATTATTTTATTTCTTCCCCCGTGGTAGTTCAACTACTCTATAGAGTCAAGTTTTTCCTCGCCTCGGGAGAGTTGATGAGGACATCACTTGTTTGGACTCTTATCTATGTTTTGGACTACTATTTATGTCTTATTTTATTGGGCTTGTATTAATGGGCTAGCCCAAACCCCATAACCATTAGGTTTAATTTTGTTATTTATGTGCCATTATGTTTAATTTTGTTATTTATGTGCTTGTATTGTTTTTCCAAAGATAGTTGATAAATGATGAAAATGAATGATCAGTTTGTGCGTCAGGTTTTTCTTTCCCTTTCTCTCTAACTTCCCCTTCTTCTCCGAGTTTCTTCCCCCTTGCTGCCATCTTCTTCTTCTCTTCCCCTTCTCTTCTCCTCCTTGTAGAAGTTCTGCAATTCTGCTTCTTTCTGTTGGACGCCTGCTGTCGTTCCCTCAACTTCAGCCATAGTCAACGCCAGCCAATCTCTCTAGTGCCTCCGACTTCTCATCTCCATCGATCCACACTTTTCTCCAGATGACAAGAATAGGGCTGGACAAATTTGGCTCGTTAATACAGTGGGTGTTTGATTTTCAATTTGGGCTTGTCAAATTGTATCTTTGGTTTTGCATTGCTAGAGTGAGTTTATTTTTATTTTCAATTTGGGCCTGCCCGCCCTAGTATTTTGTGCCTAGTAAAAGTGTAGCTTAAAAAAAGAAAGTAAAGAAACGCAAAAAAGAAAGGAAAACAGAAAGCAAAAAAAGAAGAAGAAGGTATTTTCTAACATTACCTTGCAGCTAACTCTCTTGTTCTGCTAATTGGCTCCGTCACTTCAACGAACAAAGGGGAGTTATTGTTTTATCTATCGTTGGTTATATTACTGTTAATTCTAAAATTGCGTCGATCTATTTTTGTGTAGCTGATATTCTAATTTTTACCTAAAATTCACATAATCGAACCCCTAGACCTAATAAATCTCTTGAATTGTTATATTTTCATTTTGTCCTACTTATTTCACGTGATTAAGCTGTTTACTAGTGTTTGACCATTGTTTTTTAATTTTTCATAGGTCAGTAATATCAGCTTGCCATATTTGGATTTACATAATCTCACAAAAAAAAAAAAAAAAAAAAAAAAAAGCTCAAGTTGATATTTTTCATTGATCTCTCCATCACACCTCATTTAGCTAGTATTACAGTGTATGAAGTTACATAGTGTTCCTTCTGTCATTTTTAGTTCCAGTACCTTAAACATGGACCCCTCACAATTTGATACATTCACCCGACAAATAGCGGCTATCTAAACCTAGATGACTGATACTCTGGAAGATAGTAAGGCCCTATATGCTAATTTGAACAACTTTAAGCAAACCATTCGTTCAACTGACGTTTATAAATCTAAAGTTTCAATAATAGACAATACCATCGTTGATAGTGTGATAAAAAATGCTTTTGACACGAACATAGGGATAGAGATTAGGTTCGTGAGCGAGAACGAAGCTATAATCGTCATGATACTCACTTCCTCGTCATAAGGAGCGTTTCTTTAGGAACATTAAAATAGATGCTCCTACCTTGGATATTTGCTTAGCTTTTGAAATTTTTACTCAATGGACTGCCCTTAAACAAGGGAATCGGTTAGTGACTGAATATATTGCACGATTTGAAAAATTTCGAACTAAATGTCACGTCATTGAGGATGAGACCATGACTTTGAGTAGGTTTAGCGAATGTCCAAGAGATGATCTTAAGTGTGAACTTTTCCTTCGAGGTGTCACCACTCTTGAGTACGCTTACTCGTTAGCATGTGATTATGAATTAATTATTAATACCCCATATGAAAAGCACGATCACCATCACTCACCCATCTCATTAGCGTCACCTCATTATAAGTCTATCATAGAGTCTCCCCCGTCTAGTATATTCCTCCCATTTGGAAAAATAAGTGTAAAGGTTGTGATAGTCCAAGACCTTCTTTTCCATATAGAAGGCGTATTGACAACCATTCTTCTGTTTCATTGTCTTCGCTTCCTTCCGTTAAGTCCCTTCTAGGACCTTCATCGTCTTATGTTGCTCCAATTTTGGAAAATAAAGGAAATTTTTTTGAAACTTCTAAGGACTTCCTCTCACTTGTTGTGCGTTAGCTGTAAGGATTTTGACCACATTTCTCTCAAATGTGAAATGTCCTAGATGAGTCTTAGTCATGAAAGAACGAAAGAAAGTAATAGATGAGTTATTAAAAGATCAGTCTATGAACCTAAACTCGAAGATTTTGATAACTTGGATGATAGTGATGACACCTTCTTATGTGGAATCCAGACTCTTACTGAGACTCTAGATACTATACCCATTGTTTCCAACACCTCTCAATTACATGGTATAGGTCATACCCCTACCCAACCCAAAGAGCCTGATGATTTCACTAGTCACTTTTGGAGAATTCAGTCGCCTGTGGTTAGCATTAAATCGGAATTCTTCATTGCAAACCAACCTCAGATTGATGGTCAAAATGAAGTTGCTAACCAAAGTCCTAGCGATTTATTAAAATCCCTAGTCCAAAAAAATCTTGGGAACTGGGATTTGATCTCCCAGTTGTTCAAATTGTATATAACAATTCTGTAAATCGGTCTCTAGGTCTAAATCCATTGGAAGTTGTTTATAGTTATAAGTCTAGGCGGCCGTTGGAACTTATTCTCATATCTCCGCATGCTAGTGTGTCGATGTTAGCTGAAGCATTTGTACTTTATCTTCATGACTTGCATATTGAGATCAATAAACGACTTAAAGTAAGTAATATATCATATAAACTTCAAGTTGATTTACATAAACGAAATTTTGAATTTAATATTGGGGATTATGTTATATTGCAAGTCGTTGTGCTGGTCCTTATGAAATTTTAAAGCATGTTATTTCAAATACATGTCTTATTGATCTTTTATCACATTTTGGCCACTATTTTATTTTATTTGTTAAGGATTTCGTTGTTTATAAAGGCTATTTTAACCCTTCTGATAATTTTCTACCTCTACATGGGAATTCCTAAATTGAATCTTTTACTATGTCTACTTCAATACCACTTATCACAGCACACAAAGATGATATTGATGTTATTTTAGATGATCGATTGTTTTGATCAATGATTTAGAGATTTAATACTTTTTTGTTCGTTGGGTAGATTGACTTAATTTTGATGGTACATGGACCCCTAGAAAGAGACTTCAACAGCATCATCTAGATTCATTGGAACTTTATAGGAGTTAACAAAATCTTCCTTTGCCCAATTCATCTTGGTCAGATCATATGCTTGGGAATAATTTACAAATGGTGTTCTCATCATTTGTTGAGTTCCAATATTTGGTTCATCAGAAAGATCGTCCCCCGTGGTAGTTCAACCACTCGACAGAGTTGAGTTTTTCTCCCACTCCGGGAGAGTTGATAAGGACATCACTTGTTTGGATTTTTATCTATGTTTTGGACTACTATTTATGTCTTATTTCATTGGGGTAGTATTAATGAGTTGGCCCCAACCCCATAACCATTAGGTTTAATTTTGTTCTTTATGTTTTTGTATTGCTTTTCCAAAGACAGTTGATAAACGATGAAAATGAATGATACGTTTGTGCCTCAAGTTTTTCTTCCCCTTTCTCTCTAACTTTCCTTTCTTATCTGGGTTTCTTCCCCCCTGCGACCGTCTTCTTATTCTCATCCTCTTTTCTTTTCCTCCTTGCGGAAGTTTTGCAATTCTGCTTCTTTTCTGCTGTTTTATTTTTTGCTGGAATCCATATTATCCGGTATCAAAGATAACAAAAAATATAAAGGATAATTTATTTATTGGAAAAGTTGTGGTTCTTTTCTTCTTCTTCTTCTTTTTTTTCTTTTTTTAAATATTCTTTTTGCAGGTTGAGGATGGCAATATGCATATCCTTCCTTTCTTTTGCTAATTAAAATTTCCTTCCTTTCACATCTATTTTTCCATATATAATTAGTTGATGTGCACAGCCCTCCAACATATTTGTTGATTAGTTCAACTCCCAAACCCTAAAATATATTACTTATCATCTTTTCTTTCTTTTCCTAATTAAGCATTAACAAATATTAGGATTTGTTAGATTGCAAATATGGAATTCACATGAAAATAAAATAATTTCTAGGCAATTGAATTGCTTAAAACTTATTTGCATTATGGAATTCACATGAAAATAAAATAATTTCTAGGCAATTGAATTGCTTAAAACTTATTTGCATGAAAATTATTAATTAAATGTGTTTGATTAATTAATATTATACTTGTCCATTTTTTTTATTGGTGAATAGATGAGAAAGAGAGAAAATTGTCTGAAAATATTTTCCATTTAAAATATGCCAATCAAACACTAAAAAAAACTCATTTAGGTAGAAAAATGACATTTTTTTCATAAATAATAAATCCAATTAAACCTCTAATGCTATAATTTCAATTTATTGTTGTATAAAGAACAATATGGTGGGCCAACCAACCAATTCCACAAAGACTATACTATGTGTACACAAAGTATTACACCATCTCACATGGAGGAGGGCCCATATACAATAAAATAATCGTAGGTCCCCCTCCATGTGGGGGGTCTAATTTATGGAGCATGCTGTAGGTAACAGACCCGTGCCAGACAACACACAATCGCAGGTCTCGGCATAATTTTTTTTTTTTTTCATGTGGGATCAACCCCGACAATGAAGGGTTGGTAAGACTCTGTAAGAAATGCTTTGTACGAAGAGCATTTTCCATAATTTATTGTGTACACCTTTACACATGGAATAATTCATTCCACAAACTCATTTTTTAGTGCCTTCTTTTAGATTCCAACTTAATCCATCTTTGTTGACAATGCTTTGAGAAATGTATTTTCCTTTTTGGTAATTTAATTATTTTCGTCTCCTTAATCTCGTTTCTCCTTAATCTCGTTTATTATTAAATCTACGAAAATATATAATAATTGAATTTGTACAAATACCACATCTTATGTCAAAATAGATCTATATGTCCTCCCCCTAACACATTTTATTAAAATACTTGAGAGAAACAAATATTTTATTTAATACAATTCCGTAGTCCTAAATAATTTGTTACGCTTTTAATTCATACTTTCAATTAAAAGTAAAAAGGATGTTTAAAAATAAATTTGACTTCTTTTTAAGTTTAAACATTGATGTTTTAATTTTACAGTGTCCTAATTCATAATAACATAATAAATGAAGGAAAAAGAAAAAGTTAAGAGTTAAGGGGAAAAACCCAAAGGAAGATGTTACATATACATCATATTGTATATAAGGGTGTTCATAATGAACACCCGGTAATACTGAGGCGCTTGTCACGCATGGGTCCACAGGTACCTTGACCAATGTCGAGGTGTCGGGTGTCCATTAATTTACAATGTAATGTATAATAAGATTAATCCAAACCCAAGAGGCCCGACAGAGAGTTCTATTATTAGGGCTGAACATGGTCCGGTTCTGTTCGGTCCGATCAAGTTCGATTCCATTCGATTCCGTGTTATAATTAATTTTTTTAATATATACAAAATTACATTAATTTAATTAATGATATGTTCAATTTTAGCTTTTACAAGATAATGTAGTCCAATTTTCTGTGTCATTTACGTCTCTTTTTGCTGAGTTCTTCATAAATTTGATTATTAAAATCATAGGAAGAGAAAGATAGTGAATTCAAAATAATTAAGAGAGACGTTGTAGAGCTTTAATTCGATTTTTTTCAATAGAAACGACACTACAGTAAAGTAACAGATTTGGATAAAATTGAGGTCAATTTGATTAAGTTGACTTTGAACTGAAAATTAGAAATAGGAAAATCATATTTTTTTGTTTGAACTAAATTAACTAGTCAACAAATTTATTTAGAAAAAATAAAATAATTTTGTTTATTTAAAATAAATTAATTAAAAAAATTAGGAAGATTCGATTCTTATTCAATTTTTCGGCTCTCAACCTAGAACCAAGAACCGAAATACGTCGATTCTCGATTCAAATATTCGTTCGAACATTTAATTTGAAAAGAACCATCGAATTCGATTCGATCAGTTCGATTCGAGAATTTTGTCCAAACCCATCTAATATCCAATTTGACCCATTTTCTTCAAATAGCCAAAATAGAACTCCCATAAGTCTACGCTTTGCCTTGTATCCCCTCTCCCCCAATTGCCGTTAAATTTTCCCTCACCGCAGACAGCTCAGGGAAAATATATACATACGATCTGTACACCTATACATACAAGAGAGGAGCAAAAGATGAGGCCACCGAAGAGGCCGATCCACGCGGTTTCGACATGGGTTCGGCGGCAGCCGCCGAAAGTGAAGGCGTTTCTGGCGGTGGTCAGCGGCATGGCAGCGCTGGTGCTTCTCCGTGTTATTGTTCACGATCATGACAACCTTTTTGTTGCCGGCGAGGCCGTTCACTCCATCGGAATTTCGGTTCTTATTTACAAGCTCATGAAGGAAAAAACCTGCGCTGGTACTATACCAATTGTGGGTTGTTTTGTTTCTACGTGGGTTTTTACTTCTACGTTATTTTGCGGTGGTTGGTTGTAATTAGTTAGAGGGATTAGAAATTTTGGTGGGATTGTTTTGGAATATGAGTAAACTATCTTCTCTTGGTAGTAAGAACCCTACAATAAAGAGAAAAATCAGTGAAATTATTTATTTCCTTTGATCTTATGATTTTTTTATTGTTTTCCTCAGAAGAGATTTTGATGTTTTTGGTTAAATTTGGTTTATGTAAGAAAAGATTGGCTTTTTATCTGTCTTTGTCGTGGTTGTTATGTTTTTCCAGGGTATTTTTGCTTTTGGGAACGGGAATTTTTTTTGGCTGTGATTTTGTGTTAGTTGTTTGTAATTGATTATGGGAATGAGAAACTTTGGGGTTCTGTTTGGGGATGAGGAGAAGTTCTTCTCTTGGTTGTGGGAAGTTTTGTAGTGAAGTTAAGTTTTAATGAAATTATTTATTTTATTATCTTATGGATTTTTATGTTTCCTCAATTTGGGGTTTTCAATTTTTATTTTGTAAGTCAAATTTTGGTTATGCAAGGAAAGATTGGATTTTTATCCTAGTCTGTTTTGAAAGAATGTTTATTGTTGTTTTTGCACCAGCCAAATTGCCTGTTTCTTGGGTTCTGGGGAGTAATCAAAGATTTAGATATGGTTTTTACCCAAAGTTGAGGGGTTTCTCTTATTCCTCGACCATATGGTTTCAAAGAGAGTTCTCATCCTTTGCTTGAAGTTATATTTTATGGCTTTATATCCTATCTTACAGTTTGAAATCTAATAGGGAATATTCTCTGGAATTATAACTATAAAGTCATTTTTTTTGGTTATCTTCCTATGTCTATCCATTTTTGTGTTGGGGTAGTAGTGACAGAACAAATTAAGGACCCTCCTGTGGTCAGTTATTTTGTCTGTAATTTATAGATTGCAGCCCCTTGTAAATTCATGAGGTTGCATAATACTAGTTCTTTGTTATTGGGCTTTATTTGGAGATTGCATCTGTATGTTGATGTGGAATTAGTTTTCTCACATGCTTGACTAAAATGGTTGTATACACAACTCTACTGTGGTGGGCGTACCTAGTTTGCAATTAGCATTGTACTAAGTTGACTGAGAAAAAAATATAATTGAAGGAGCTTATGGTTAATAATCAGAAAGCAGTTCCATTGATATTTGTGAACATTAGAATGTGTCCACAATTATAGCATGTTATTTAAATTTCTTCAAAGTTTACATGATTTTCTCTGGTATATATATACCAGATACCCATTCAATTACTAACGTACTTATTCTAAACCCCCTTGTATATTCGATTCATTCATTTAGTTACCTATGGATCATTATCTTTTGATCTCGTTTCATGTGAACTTGAACTTAATTAGTGAGATTTGTTTTTTCCTTGGCATCCTTCTCATTATATAATGGCCAATTGTAGCCCAAGAATTTATACACAAACACTTGCTGATTCCTACTTTCTCGGTTTACCTTATAACACTAGGTGGCTAATACATGCTGATTCCTCCATTTTGTTTATTCCTTTGCAGGGCTTTCACTCAAATCCCAGGAGTTAACAGCATTGTTTTTGGCCGTTAGATTGTATTGCAGTTTTGTCATGGAATATGATATACACACGTTGCTTGACTTGTCTACTTTGGCTACAACCTTGTGGGTGATGTATATGATTCGTTTTAAACTGAGATCCAGTTACATGGAGGATAAAGACAATTTTGCTTGGTATTATGTGGTGAGTCTTCCATGGTATTTCTGTCGTTTCTCACTTTTCCTTTCCTGGTTGGGTTCACTGAGATTCAGACATGCATTTGGATGAATATTTTAGATTGTTGATATATGCTATATGGAATCTGTGCAGGTGGTACCTTGTGCTGGTTTAGCTTTGCTAATTCATCCATCTACATCACATCACTTTATCAACAGAATTGCCTGGGCTTTCTGTGTTTACCTGGAAGCTGTTTCCGTGCTACCACAATTGCGTGTCATGCAAAACACAAAGGTAGAATTTTGTTGGCAACACGTACAGATGTCGCTATACGGTACACAGTTTCATTGTAAAGTTTGATCGAGTATGTTTCAGGTCTTGATTATATTTTTAATTTCTTGGTGACAGATTGTTGAACCATTTACAGCTCATTATGTATTCGCATTGGGTGTTGCAAGGTTCTTGAGCTGCGCTCATTGGGTTCTCCAGGTTTGACTTGCACTAACTTGTTTAAGCCTTTTAAGTTGACCGTTGCAGGCAAGTAGCATTCTTTATAACTAATTTATTTATAATCATCCATTAGGTGCTCATGTTTCTATATTATCAATGTTGTTAAGGCTTCATAGTTCTATATGATACAATTATCTTAGATTTTTTTAACATATCGGTAATATCGGTGGTATCTCCAATCCTTTTTTTAATAGTTGGGATGATAAAGTATTATGATAATATTGTATGTAATATGCTTATCTGATTAATATGCTGATATTGGAATTGTTTATCAGATTAATATGCTGACATCGGAATTGTATTGACCGTGTCATGTTTGTTCAAACTATGGACTCTTTTTGTAAATATGTTCAACAATTGGTATTATACTTGGTTTACTTGGATTGTACCTAAAATCACGTGTTTCACAGGATTTCTTGTTGCCGTATTACATAACCTATTGACCTTAGCAATAAATTACTTTTGAGTAGTAGGGTTGTGCTTACCAACCTTTCTCGTGGTATGGTTATGGCTCCCCAACCTTCAAAAGTTAGGTTTAAACTTTTAGGTCTTAATCGTATTTAAATCCTTAAATATGGATACCCAAGTGGTTGAAACTATCAATGTAGATGTTAAAATCACACACAACTTTCACTTGATTTAAAGCTGGAGGGAGAAAACATCAAACCACTTATAACTATGATGTTCTCATTCAAAGTCATGTGAAATTGTGCAATTTTAATGCCTCCATTGATAGTTACTATCACGTTAAGATCCAGATGTACATATCTAAATAGGTTAGAGACCCAAATCCTCATTTTTGAAGGTTGGGATCCATAACCACACCTCGTGATGTGTTGGAAGCCCATCCCTATTTTTCCAATACTTAATTCTCTGAACTCAGGGTTCACTCAAGTAAGAAGTATCAAACCATGGTTAATAACGTGGTCTAGTTGCTTATAGGAAGGATTATGAGCATGTTTGGCTAAGCTTAAAAGTATTTACTTATTAGTAAATAAATAAATATTAATATGTACAATTTTCACTAATCAAAGTTGAAAATTGCAGTTAGGTAAGACTTCTGCAGAAAGTATCCTTTTTTACTTAAAATAATTAGTAGATTCTCTAGCATGTTGTGAAACCGAAAAAAAAAAGAAAAAAGAAAAAAAAGGATTCTTTTTATTAAGCTTAGCCAAATGTGTTGGTATGTCTCTTGCACATGCACAAAGGTAATTGAAATTGATGAATTTTTATCATCATTGTCCATTTGCATTCTACAGGTTTTGGACAGTCGTGGTCATCTGCTTGTAGCATTGGGTTATGGTCTGTGGCCGTCGATGGTTCTTATATCAGAAATTGTTCAAACCTTCATCCTTGCAGACTTTTGTTACTACTATGTGAAAAGGTTTGTATAAATTCTTGTGCACAATTTCAGGCATATAAATATATCAACTGTAGGAATTCATTGTTCCGTTATATTTTATTAACTACAGTTTCTACTTTGCAGTGTTTTTGGAGGACAGCTTGTGTTACGCCTTCCTTCTGGAGTGGTGTAATTAATGGTCGTTTGAGTTTTCCTTTGTAAGTTATTTTTTGCACACCACACAGCTTGTCCTGGTCACTGGTTCTTCATCGTAAAAATTGGTGGATGGAATGTGGAAAGATGGCAAATACAAGAAACTCGGGTTTTTAAGTCAACCAGTTGATTTGCTAGAAATTAGATTGGCTGGGTTGTATGAGTTATTTGTTCAATTTAGTGGATTTGGGATGTGATTCCATGGACTTATGTATGCACATGAACTTTAAATCAAGGTTCATCGTACTTTGTTTCTACTTCCGTGTGGTTAATCCAACATTTTCCCTGGTTTTATGCGTGGTTATTAAACCCGGACTGGATCAGCCTGTCTGACCGGGAACTCCATGAACCTGACCTTGGTCTGGTCCTGTCGGCATAATTGGACCAATGCAGAATTGAACTGTCATTGGCTCGCTAGAACTCCAAGGATTTTGCTAAAACCCGGTGAATTGTGAAGCAGCCAAGTGTGCCATTGTTGAACGGTTTAATATGTTTGGTTCATGTTAGTTATCGAACTTCATTTTGTTTCAAAATGGACATCAAACTTGCGCATTTGTTTCAGTTTGACAATTCTGTCCTTTGTGATCAAAATTAACGATCCGTAACAGGTGTAGCAGAATGCCTGTTCAAGAAATAGATTCAAGAACTGTAAGCAACATTTTCAGAGAGTAAAAAGTCCTGGAGATGAGAAGTGTAATAATCCAAAGCAAGTAACAATATATATATTGTAGATTATTTTCCTTTTCAAGAAGATACTGTTATCAGACATCATTTTCACAGGGTAAGATACCTTGCCAGAATGCCCTCAGGGGTAATCCCAAGTCCAAAAGCCTGTATCAATCCCCACTCATTTTGTATCAATTCTTCCCTTTTTGCCTCTTCCAGCATGTACTACAGCACATAAATAATCGTATACAGCTTGCGTTTCCATAATCAGCCAGTGCCCTTCAACTTGCATTCAATTTGTCGGGCAGCAATTCCAACTTCTTTTCCAACCTGTTAAGAATTGCAGGGCTACCAGGATGAACTGCCCAAAACATTCTGTTGTAGTCTTTCTGTGTAATTTGCAAATCCCATCAACTTTACACGGAATCCTTCAATATTATCCTTAATTATTTGAGGAAGTTCCCTTTCTAGTTTGAGATTTATACCCTCTTTTGTAAGTCTCCCGTTGATTGTATTTTCTGTATCTAAGTGGGTTATGTTTGTGCTGGTTTGCCCCGTTTCTTGATGCGGGATTGTAAGGCTTTGATTGCCATTTCTGTGACAACCCAATTACAGATGTCCAATCGTCGTTTTACCGTTGGGAGTCCTTCTACAGCAAGCTCGGGGTACTTCTTTAGGATCTCCTCAAACATGACCACATATCATGTTTTTACTGTGGTTGTCTTGCCTATAAACGATGAAAAAATGCAAATTAAACATTGTATTAACGATCTAAATATGCAGTATAATAAATCTTTGTGATAGAAATAGATGTTGATTAATTGGACTACAAAGTTGATTGAGCTTGAGCTTCAGCTCTGGATCATCACAGTTGGTGTTCTTGAAATAGCCATCAACCAAAAACTCTTGCATGACCAGCTGGTGAGGAAAGGCCTTTCCAAGAGCAAGAATTGTAGCTTTTCCGGGGCGGGTCAGCATTCCTCGAGGTCTCTTCATTTCCCATGCTTTCTTCTCGAAAACGAGTTTTATGAGTTTAAAACCCTCTTTCCTTTGTGAAGTACTTTGCACAGAAATGCTCTTATATATACTGGCGCCAAAGAGGATTCTTTAAATTGACTTAATGTTGCTTAAAGTTTTATCATCACACACAAGATGAATTGTTGTGTTTAATTTATGAAATTGTAAATGGATTAGTTGTGGGGTGAGAAATTCATGAGCATTGTCTAGGTGTTGGGTGAAGAGTTGGTTCAAGGATATCAACAAAGTTCTCAATATTCTGGTTTCATGCAGCAGACAATCTTAGATTCCTGGCAATGCTGCCCAAGTTAGCAGGCATAAAGAGACTGCATAGCAATTTCACTTTCACGAGCTGTAAATCTCTACATTAGTGATTGCAATTAGACAATGAGAGGCTAAGTGCAATCACATTTAGAGGCCAGAAGAACAAAGTGTATCAAATTGTGCTGAGCCACCCAGTCCTCAACCGTGTCAGTGGCCGGCCACCCCAGTGGCGGGGACACCCTGGGCCAAGCTGCAGGGGCTCGTGACGCCCAGGCCTATTATTTAAAAAAAAAATGAAGAAAAATTCAAAAGTGGAGATTTGTGTAAAAACCCACAGGCCTGGTCTAATCCGTAGGTCCATTTTGAAAGTGAGCCAGGCTTCAGATTTTAACCAAGTTCTGGTTTCTCTGGTTTCATGATAAACCTGATTCCTGGCCGCAGGGCATACAGATCCTTTTGAATAGAAAGTGTAATGCCCTTCAATTTTCCATTTCTTCTATAGCAAATGGGAAGAAAATAGAAAAAAAAATGGCTGGCTAGTAGTAAAAATCTGCTTTCTGATCGCAGTTCCAGTACAAAAATACTTCAATAATTGAACTAATGTAGAAGGCATAGCTAAGATAACTGGGATGAGGAAAAATTTTAAGACCAACAGCAACAAGTCTAACGAACATATTTTGGCAAGGCAACAACGTATATATTTATTATATGTAGACAAAGAACAATGTGACCAATAACCTTGTTATATCTTTCGTACATTTTACCAAATGAGATAAGAAGGTTGAAAATAATTATAATTATTCAATGTGTCAATCAATCATTAGATTCATCTTTATCCTCAGATATTGAAAAGGAAAACAATGATTAAACTCAAAGTTCTAACGGATTCTTCCCATTGATGAAATCAACAACTCGAGTAGCTGCTTGATCAAGTGCAGCAGTGACTGCAGCCAAATTTTCCAAAAATTCCTCAGTTGTTGGCCTGTCACCATCAACTATATCGGTAACAGCTTTCAAAAATATTGCTGGCGTTCTCAAAAGATCTGCCACATAAGCAACAGCAGCTCCCTGACACAACGATTTCAATAAGAATAAAATGCAACGTAAGGTTAGAGATTATTAGTCATAGCAACCGCTTGGCAATGCATAAAATTAAAACTGAGATACAGCTCCAGTGTATTTTGACCAGTTCCATGTCTACGTGACACAATTTTTACTCCTGGTCACAGAAAGTCCAAATGAAATGAGGTATATGTGATATGCAACTTCTCAGTTTGTCAATGTTACACTTCACTGATTCTAATATATGCATTCAAAATTTTTCCACCAAGATTTGTACAAAAATAAGATAGTTAATATTCTAAAACTTTTCTAAGAAAACTTGAATAGGAAGGAAGCAGATTATGTCAAAGGCCAGCTTCTAAACCCAGTTGAAACACATCCATCGAAATTACAAGAAGATAAATTAAGAGACTGCCACACTGAGGTTGAAAATAAATAGACAGCTGAATCAAGGTTGCTAAGATAGTAGAGTTGATTTAACTACTGTGCATGTGAAGGACTGGAGAGCAGAGAACCATTTCTTTATATTAGTTCAGACATCACAATAAGCTCACATATAGAAAATTACCTCCATGTCCTTCACTGTTGCATCATTTGCGATGATTGCTGTTTCATCATGTGGGCACATATCTAAAGAATCGCCAGTGGACAGTTTGCCAATCTGAAACATGCATGGATTATTAAAACTTGAAGCTCTATGAAGTTCCAAAAGACATGCCATAGAGTGTTATTGCCATACACAGCACACGAAATTCTGGATCCAGCCTCACAGAGATACAATTCATGATAAAGAGATGTTCATGGACTTCTTTTGGAGTAAGAAGCATATTGTTTTGTCAATTTGATATGAAAAAAATGCATCATCCTTGGAGAAGATTAAGGCGAAATGCACGATACGTAGCACGATAATGATGGAAGTGTAATGAAAGTAATGCAACAATTGTTGTTGAGAATAATTTAAAATCAAGGGAGTTGAAAGTGATGTGAGTGTTCAAAGTAACATGTGAAGGGGTAACATCATTACGGTTCAGATTCAAAGAAATTGTCCCAGACTGACAAATTATAGATATGTGGATGGATCTAATAACCTACTGGCTTATACTTTTAGTTCGATACTGAACTCCAGTCTCTCCACAGTAGTGAAAGTGCTCAGGCTAATCCATGAAACATATAAAAAGTGACTTTACTGACTGGACAAAATGATTGCTTTCAGCATCTAGCATATATTAACTTGTAACATTTTCAATTATGATTTATCTTGAGTACCGGTAGGTAACTCATAAATTAAAGAGAGAAGATTCGCTAAAGTTTGCAACTAAATATTAAATAGTAATACTATTTATCATCATGACATAGAACATCGATGATGTGACAACCCATTATCCTTCACATTTCTCTCTCACTCTTGAGATCACGTCTCCACTCCCTCTCTCTCTCATAAAAATTGAACTGCCAAATCCACTATTTCACATAGACTGCCACATCATCAATGTTCTATCATCATAATAATAAATAGCATTATTCAATATTAAAGCACCGACATGACAATATAGAAAAGGAAAAGTAAGAACCAGATTAAATGTTGATAGTAATTTTTTGAATAAATGAATGTATCAGTAGCTGTAATACTCCCAAATTTTATGCTCGTTTAAATTTTTTTTTTTTTTTTTTTTAGGATAGCAATTTAGTTTTCAATATTATTTTTGGCCATAAGAAAAAGAGAGCACCACCTTTGAAGTGGTTAATACTAGAGGTAGCTAATGAATGCAAGCATGAAGTGCTAAATGTTGTGTATACATGAAGTGATTATTAGTAGTCGAAATCCAAGTCAAGTTTGAATTTGAATGAAGTGGATTATCTTGTTAGGACTTCAATTGACCAAATGATTAAATTATTTTGTTGGGATTTATTTTACAATCTACAATATTTGAATTGACCAAATGATTAAATTATTTCACATTTCTCTCTCACTCTTGAGCTCACGTCTCCACTCCCTCTCTCTCATAAAAATTGAACTGCCAAATCCACTATTTCACAGACTGCCACATCATCAATGTTCTATCATCATAATAATAAATAGCATTATTCAATATTAAAGCACCGACATGACAATATAGAAAAGGAAAAGTAAGAACCAGATTAAATGTTGATAGTAATTTTTTGAATAAATGAATGTATCAGTAGCTGTAATACTCCCAAATTTTATGCTCGTTTAAATTTTTTTTTTTTTTTTTAGGATAGCAATTTAGTTTTCAATATTATTTTTGGCCATAAGAAAAAGGGGGCACCACCTTTGAAGTGGTTAATGCTAGAGGTAGCTAATGAATGCAAGCATGAAGTGCTAAATGTTGTGTATACATGAAGTGATTATTAGTAGTCGAAATCCAAGTCAAGTTTGAATTTGAATGAAGTGGATTATCTTGTTAGGACTTCAATTGACCAAATGATTAAATTATTTTGTTGGGATTTATTTTACAATCTACAATATTTGAATAAGTATGTTAGATACAAATTTAAATTTGGAATACACTTTGCTAATAATGAAAGGTAGGGGGATTACGTTATATTATTTGGAAAATGAGAGGCTTCCTTTATAAATCTAGAATTTGTGGCCACTTATTACCCTATAATCAACTCACTTGTCATTTATCATCACCATACACTTATACAATAGACCAAACATGTGTAGAAGCAAGATTGAAAAAAAAAATAGAAAATGGAAGAAAAAGAGGTGAGGCGGTGGAGATTGGAAAAAGGAAGAAAATATCAATCCATTATCCTTATCCTTATATATATATATATATATATATTCATATCCATTGTCATAGAGAAAAATTTCTCCACTTTGCAAAACATTTGCACACACAAATAGAGAGGAAAAACCGAAAATAAGAAAGGAAAGGAAAAGGAAGTAAGCCTAGCACTTTCAATTCATATCTCAATCGAAGTTTCTTCAAGTTTTACGGTAAGATACTTTCCATGCTTAAGGGGTATGATTTCATGGTAATATTTATACTTAAGTTATGCATAAAAAGCCATAATATGCATATGGTGGACAAGTCCACAAAGTTAGATATCTATCTATGCCTTAGGACAAGTCCGAAGGGTATCGGCAAGCCGGAAGGTGCAAATATGTGTTTGATTTCATTCTTTTGTGTAGTATTATCATGATAAAATTCAAGCATTGTATCTTACTGAGTATTCCTTTTACTCATAGTATTTTATACTAAATTTTCAGATCCATGATTGTTGGATTGATGGAAGTTAGTTGGCAAAATCGATGATGGGTTAAGGACAAAGATGTTTTGCAAAGTGAAAATTTTTTTCTCTATGACAATGGATATGTATATATATATATATATATATATATATATATATATATATATATATATATATATAAAGATAAGGATAAGGCTTGATATATTTTTTTTTCTTCC